AGCCACAGGGCCCCATTCACCCCAGCCCCATCCCACTCCCTCCCTCACCACAGGGGCCTCCATCTGCCCCCCATGCCACTTCCCCATGACAGACTAGCATGCTGTGCTGGGCAGTGCTTCACATGCTGCTGGGCTGTATGTCTGTGTCTGTGCATGCCCCTGCCCCTTTGCTGTAGCCATCCAGAAAACCAACCCTGGGCTTCCCTGCAGCCCTATGTGCTGCCATTGCTGCCCCACATTTGGGGGGGCTAAGCCCCGTTAGCCCCAGCCTTCTGCCACCTATGCCAGTCCCCCAATTTCTAGCCCCTTCAGAAATCCCCCGAAGCCAGACGACACTGTTCTGCAGGCCGGATCTTTGATGCTCCTTATTTACATGAAGAGTCACACAGAGGAAAATATTACCTTCACTGTCTTTGAATTTCTTGATGGCCACAATCTCATGTGTCTCCTATAAAACAAAGACAAGAAAACTGAAATGAACAATATTTTTCTGTAGGTATTAGATCAATCAAATAAAATATTCAGACTAAATACATTATTTTCACTCTACGTTGCCAGAGGCACATAGAAACAAGCAAAAAAGAATTAAAATAGAATCCAGTGAATATCACTGGAATATCACTGATAGGGTGAACCAGGCTGTCCAAGTATATTCAGCAAATACACTATGATTAACTTCCCTGACTTCAAAACACAAAAAGCATAAACACCAACAACTTGTATTCATAAAAATAAATTATTATTTTTTAAAGAACTGAGCACTTGGAGTTCTCATTATTCTGCTATTCTGGAAGTTGGGGCACTTATTTAATGGATGTGGGGCCCTAGCAGATGTTACATTTATTGTGTGATAAAGTGTAAAATGCCACACGTTTAGCCTATTTATGGCACGATAACATGTCAAACCAGCCACGAAGATGTTCCACATTTAATGTGGAACATCTTTGTGCCTGGATTACATTGCCCTTTAAATTGAACATGTGGCATATTTGGCATAAGGTTGCACAGTGGCTTCAGGCACTAACACAAAGCAAGCTGATCAGCTGATGCACTTGCTACACACTAGCAAGTTGAAAAAAGATGTATCCTGGCCCTGCCAGAAGTGGATGGCAGGATGGACAATTTTTGGAATCTATGAACAAATTTGTCAGATCCCAATCATGTAGCTGTGGGGAGCCAGGCATCAAGGACCAGTCTCTAATGCCATGCTTCCCATAATGCCCTTTTTACTTGCTGGTGCATGGAGAAGCTGTGGGCTCTCCACATGCTGGCAAGTTAAAAGCTGTGTCGGGATACAAAAGCTTCACTAAGGCAGTGATCTCCAACCTTTTCATGGTGAAGAACACTTTTTGTAAGTAAAGGGCACCCCAGGATCTACCACCCCACTCCCTACCCTGCCCTGCCCCCACCCTCCCAA